GCACAACCTGAAAACTAAAGACCAAAAGACAGAAGTGAGCATCAGGATCAACTGAGAATTCAAACATGCACCCTGTAATATAACAGAGAGGTTGATGATTGGGGGTGAATGTGACAGGAAGGACTGAGTGGATCTTTGATCTCAAACACGTTGGTTTTCATTTCTACTATGAGATTAAAACAGCAGCAAAACTGTAGTTCTGTTTTTGTGAAACATTTATTTGTAACGAGCAAACATAAATACATTCGTATTTACAAATAGACATATTTACAGTCATCTTAGAAACAGAAAACATTAAAGAAGAGTAGCTGAACTCTCACAACAAGTTGGAATATTTCCTCTTATCAGGAAGAAGTCAAAGTTTGCAGATGTGAGCAGCATTCACACAAACGTCAACTTTAAACAGTAAACGAGCAGCAAAGATGGTAAACCAGCAAAAAAAGGAGGTCAGTGCCTGCTGCCTCCCTCGGAGAGGATTCGACTGGGCTCTGTGAACTTGGCCGTGGCGATGTAGAACAGTGTGGGTCCAGGAACCAGAGCGAGCAATGGTAGGGACAGTTCTAGTTTATCCAGAAGACAGATGGAGATGATCCCGTAACCGTGGAGCAGCCAATGGCTGAACAGAACCACCAGACGCTTCTTCTTGGAGATAAGAGACTGGAGGGACTGGGGGGTAGAACACAAAATATTAAACATCTTCAGAATCCAATGTTAGGTTTTTAAAGATTTTATGTTGAAATTTGCTGATCCATTCAACTGTTTCAGCAACTACACAGGAAAAACCTTACCTGAATCTCAGAAGCAGACATGTAAACAGCCAGTGTGACCAGTGACAGGACCAGTATGATGTAGGGAAAGGCGTAGTCTGCAACACACAGGCACATCCATTAACTCTCACATACTGCCGACATTGTTTTAACTGTGCAACGGTAAAAAACTTACACAGCAGCCCTCCGCCCACCGCCTGCAGCACAGTGACGATGGGGAAGAAGTAGAGAGCGGCGTAGATGCTCCTAAAGCGGTCCGTCTTCCCAAGGCCACACGCGATCTTCTTTACCAGCAGGGGGCGCAGCAGCATCATCATTACCAGGCAGAAGGCATAGTAGATTAACACTATGGTGTAGCTAGACAAAAAATACAGTGACGCAGACTGGTTTAATTACTCAGAGACAGATAGTTCAACATTTTCAAACAATCTTAGCCTCAAGACTGAGTTTTCTTAAAGGATTTAAGTGACATCAATTACTTTTGGACCATAATTATTATCAGGTCAATCTACAGCACTTGGTTCATCTCAACGCTCCATGCAGGCTACTCCTCTCACAAACTCATCTAGGTAACTTGAGAAGATCGGATAAGTCACTAAAGGAGTGCCAGAGCGCCGCTTTATGCCAGTCTGAGCTCCAGTTTAACACAACAGCTAACTAAGCTTATAGAATTTGGGAAAACAAAATGCAGACTTATTTTGGGTGCATTAATCTAGAGGGGTTAATGGGATTGAATTTATCAGTTACTCGTGACTTCTCAATCTGCTGGGCCAAAATGATTTCTATCAAACTCCAAAACACAGAGGGAGACTGTTTATCATTACTGTTATTATTGTAACAGTGTTGCAAGCTGAAAGTTACAGGTAAAGTGCCCCCTGGTGGCTAAAAGTTACACAGTGCTGCTTTTAGGAGACATTCTGTATGTTTTTACTGAAAAACATATTTAAATAGCTCTTCATTTAACCTTTTATGACTAAAACAGGGTTTACTGTGTAGACTGACACCTCAGTAGTTCAGCAAAGATGCATCTATAAGCCTGTGGTCTATTTTCCCTGAATGTTTAAGGTCGGAAGTTTCTGCTACATTTCTGCAGATGTGACACCAAACAAGTCCATGTAAACTGGGTCCAATCTAGCAAACAATCAAAAGATTATATTCACAATGGATGATGTGGATACTCGGAAGCAACGGGCAGAGTTGGGGGAGTGGTGGCCTATTGGTTAGGGAGGGTGGGTCCCAGTGGTTCTGAGTTCAAGCCCCACTCCCACGGACTGCCACTCTGGGTCCCTAAGCAAGACCCTTAACCCTCACACTGCTCCCCGGGTGCTGCACAACGGCAGCCTACTGCTCCCCAAAGGGATGAATCAAATGCAGAGTTCATTTGGTTGCTTTGTACTTTGTACAGTGTAATGACAATAAAAATTTGAATTCTGATGAATTCTACAATTTTATTCATCTCAACTCAGACACCGATGGCAACTCCAGGTAAGGTGAAAATAGTAAACAAACCAAAAATCAAATAAACCTGTCAAGTATGAGCAAGTGTACTATTATCACTACGTGTATGTTAACGCAGATTAAAAGCAAGCCAAACTCAATTTTCATGAGCCAGGAAGCTGAGCGTTTTGATGTTGCGCGTACTCCATGGTTCGTTGTCTGACAACTTGTGGTGGGACTCCACTCTTTACACTCTCCTCCTTATCTTGTTCAGCAGCTGCGGCAGCTTCTAGAACCTCTGCTCTTGCCGTAGCAGCTGCGGCTTCCTTTTCTATCTCCAGCATTTTAAAATCACACTCTAGATTTGCTTGTCGCTTTTTAATTTCAATTTGTTTTTTATTGTAGGAAGCTTTTGCATTTGTGGCTTTGGCAGCGGCTCGTTCAAAAATGGCTGCTTCAAATAAGCTGGACTTTGAGGACGACTTGTAGGATGAATGCTTAGAATTAGAGTGTCTGGATCTTGAGCTTTAGATGATGCTTTAGCTTCGAAGTTAGACATTTCTTCTGCCTTTTCCTCATGAGCAATGTTTTATCCTCCACCAACTGCTGCTATGGCTTTTCACTGTACTGTTATCACTACGTGTTGGATACACTGTGTATGTTAACGCAGATTAACAGCAAGCCAAACTCAAAGCTTTCATCGAGATTCCCACACAATTGTACAAAATTGTAAGAAGACCGTAATAAAGGAGCAAGATGCTCAGCTTCCTGGCTCATGAAAACTGAGCTTGTTGTTAATCTGCGTTAACATACACAGTGTATCCAAAACATAGTGATAACAGTACAGCAAGCACTAACACAAAAACGAGAAGAAGAGTGCTGCAGTTCTGCGTTTGGGCCACAGGTGGCAGTATTATTAGAAAACTGCATAATCCCTCTTTGAACAATTCCAAAAAAAACAGTCATGACAGAAGTGTTCTTCTGTATTTTTTTTTTTGTAAATTTCCAGTTTTCTAACTGGAACTTTGAGGAGTGCACACACAAAGAACAGCGAGTCCCATTCAAGTCTCTAAAAAAAAAAAAAAGAAGAAGAAAAAAACATGTTTACCCCCGTCGTTATGCTTACCTTATGCCCCATATATAGTTTCAAGGGTTTTCTAGGAAATGTAATTAATTTTTAGAAAACATACTTTAAACCCATATCGTTGTTATGGACACAGTGTAGTAAGTAAAGGAGTGCTGATTTACATGAACAGAACAGTAGATGTTTTTATTCAGATATTTCCAGTAGATTTAAAGTAATGTTGATGCAACTTAACCGTGTGAGACAGTCGATTTAAGGTACATTTATTTTTTTATGCAAGTCATTTAATATAGTGTTTATTTGAACAACTAATAGGAAGATATTTTATGGGCCAATAATGTCCTATAATGTAACAGCATCAATTATTAGTTGAGCACAATTTTTGTGAATAAAACAAGAGCATCGGCTGCTTTCTGTAGTTAACATGGCTTTCTTTAGCTCCTCATCACAAAAGATTAATACAGTTACTAAGAAATCAAGTCTTGTTTTTACAGCATAAGTCTAAGAGTCTAAAGTCTTTTATTTTTGAGACATAAGTGCAGCTCAACATGCAGTCTTAAACTCGAGTCACCATTTCATGGGGCTGAGACCTGAGGAACACCACATCTGAGGAGTTGTAATGAAGATTTAGAGAGAGGCTAAACATTTTTAGTAGGAAACTATAGCCATACATATCTGAAAGTTTGCTGCTTTATATGGTAATAAATGGAACTTTGTTATAAACTAAGCTTCCTCCTCTAACCAGTATTTGTCCCTTTGTCCCTGTGTGTGTTTGTATCTCTGTGTGTGAGAGATACTCACAGCGGGTAGACAGCCTCCTGTGTGCAGTGTAAAGTGCTGACGTAGTCTGGGCTTGGGTTGTACAGCATGGTGTACCAGTCGGACAACATCTGGACCCGACAGGACCGGATGCTGAGTTTCCCCATAGGTTCAGTGAGCAGCAGAGTTACCACAGCAGATACACTGCACTCCAGCAAGGCGGTGACGTGCTGCAGCAGGGCACTGGAGCTGCAAACACGCAAAGGAAAGATACATATTACATTGGATTTAAGACCAGACGGATAATGCTTTTCAGATTTTCTTTTTTTTTTTATTATTATTATTATTACTGTACATCAAACCAAATGTGAATTTCTATATGGGCCGCCTAATGTTGGTCATGTGACATTTCACCCAGTTTGCTTCTGCACATGATCAAATAGAGCGTCTATCCACTTCCCGGTGTTACACCATATTTGGTGCCCTATGGGTCAAAATATATGATGAAGAACATAATATGGTGTGACACTGGTTCCCCTTGTCTGTTCAACTCAAACTGGCTAAGAACAAGTCATTGTCTTGCGTCACCATCTCTGCTCCCAGTTTGGCCCATACCACCACCAGCTTGGAGCAGTTGCAGGAAAAATGGCTTCTAGAAATACTTCCATCAGTTCAGGACTCAGTATCAGAAGCGTTTACATAGGGTAGGTTAAACATGCTAACTTGCACCAGTTGCAACATTCAAGTTACAACAATGAGCTGATGTAACAAGTACATTTCTGCACTGTGAGATCAATAAAGTCAATCAATCAATGAGATTTGCATGTCTCCTGATATCTTCTACTTGAGTACATGCAAGTGCATGAAAGAAATCTTTGTCTAATTAAAAGATTTTGAACTTATTTTCTAAATGCCAAATTGACATGGTCAGACCTTGACCTGGGATCCAGAAATGCTTATTGCTTAGAAAGGCCTATTGACAGTGGCAGCTAAGGAAAAAGCTTAATTGTTTTGATACTAGGATTTTTGTCAAATGTAGAACTGGTATCGGTGCGGAGTATCGGTTTGTTTTTAAAAGTATGTTACGAGTTCTTGACACTGGTATCGGTGCAAAGACGGAGAAGAAATATACAAATATAAGATGTACAGACCTGTTCCCCATGTCCGTTCAAACTAGGTTTACACCAATTAACACTAGGATCATCTAGACCAGGGGTCAATATGATTTTTAAGGCTGAGAGCTACTTCATAGGAAGGGCTTCCAATACTGAGCTATGAACGGGAGGGGTCAGTGTTCACCTAAACGTTATACATAAACATATTTTATGGTTTCCTTTCATTTCTATTTTTCTGTTAGATGTTGTCATTTTAAGATCTCTATAAATGCTTAAATGCCCAATATGATAACTATAATGAAATGCTCCACAAACACTTTAAAAAGAGCAACACATTTTCTTTTTCCCTCAAACTTAGCCATCTGGTGAGTTTTTCTGTTTTTAGAAGATGCTGAGGGCCTTGTGGGGTCATTGAAGGCCTCTTTGTGCCGCGGACACAGTGTGGGTGACCCCTGATCTAAATTAATATCTGTTCAAAGTCGACAGTGATTTAAGTGTTTAAGCTGTTGGCCAACTGCGGATAATGTGATGGAAGCAGAGTTCCACAAAAACACGTCCAAGGAAACATTTAAAAGCAGCGTTTAGAGATTAATACAAGAATATCATTATAATAGAAAAAAGCTTTAGCTCACTTGCATGATTATTTTATTGTTAATCATTAATTATTCATTTTAATAATAATAATAATCTTATCAATTATTCATTTTATAGCCTTTAATATGAAGTTTAAATTTCCCCCTCCTCCTATGCCAAAGCAATCCATATTTCCTTGATTTCCAATTATGTTTTATTCATGTACAGCATTTTCAATTGTATCGCTACAGAAATACACCATATAATCTGATTTGCCTTACACCAGGTTTATTCTTTTCACACCATTTCTACATGTGATCTAAAGAAGGGGTCATAGTCTGTTTATTGAGGCAAATCTCACCTCTTCTTCCCAGAGTACCACTCGATGAAGAACCAGTGCAACACCAGAGGCAACATGGCCATGAAGCCCAGGTAGAGCCAGTCATACAGCTCTGGGGACTCCTTGCAGGGTTCACACACCTTCTGGGGGTTGACCCGCTCTCCGCGAGGACAAACCTTCAATCAGAGACAATCAAGAGTTAAAACCTTGTTTATTTTCAGGGAGAAAAAGTATTTCTGATCAAACTAGAGGAAGATCAAAACAATCAAATCTTTTTCATTGCAGTAGAATTAGCTTGTGTTTTTTTCCATGTGTTTATTTATGTACACTAATAGTTCAAGGAAGTAGAAAATAGATAATTCTTAGTGAATCTGTGAGTTTTATAGCCATCATTTTGTAGATTTACCAAAATGAGTCATACCCTGGTAGTTTACTTTTACAATCCCACTGAAATTATCATTAAAATAAGGCTGGAAAAAAAAACAACAACAGTTTAATAAGAACTCAGTCTGGCCGCTTTTCATTCCACTATTTTTCCTCTGAGTTTAGGCTCAGGAATTTGACTTCTGTGTGTGCGTATTCCTATGGTAGCAGCATTAGCAGTTTGCATTAGTTTATTTACCATCGTTCCCTGGTCTTTTGCACAATAGGTAAAAGGTTACATAAACAGCAACAATTGCAGACTGCCTGCAGGTGAGTCCCTGGGTGAAATATAGACTGGAGTGGTAATAGCAGGGGGGGTAACGTTAGCTCCCTTCCACTGGAAGAGTTCTAACATCAATACTTCCAGAATAAAGGTCAATAGAGAAGGAGGACCAGCATCTCAATTTGTGGAGAACATGTCATTGTGGGCCTTTCTGTTTTTAATAACCATCTCCTCCCCCAAAAACCCCAAAACAAACAGCCATTCTCACACTCCTGCAGGTTTGAACTGAAGCCCAACACCAGTCAGACTTCGGCTCCTTTAAAAAGTTTCTTGTGGAATACTAACTAGATGAGAAGGAGGAAATGTAAAGCAGGTAATAACTCAAACTCCTGCTAGTTTTCTGTTAGGAAGCAGCTGTGTTAATCTTGCTTAGAAATGTTGGAATTTAAATGAAACACGCCCCTGATTTTGGGGGCTTCACCTTCAACAGCAACAATGAAACTGCTGAGGAAGCAGCTTTAATTTGAGTTTAATGAGGCGTCACCAGAGACAGCAGAAACAATCCCATCTCTGTTGGTATGCCAGGAATAAAAAACAAACAAAACATTTTCAACCACAATAACTGGTCAACACAAGTAAGTCTGTTCTGAACAGAAAAATTATCAATGTAAAACCTAAAATAAACAAAATATCTATGACACTAAAACACTTTATTAATTTTATTTATGTGGCTGTGGAAGTGTAGAGTTTCAAACCTTATAGAAGAACATTATGAGCAGATATCTTCATCACAATCAGTCAAGATTATTTGGAAAATCGGAGATGCTAATCAGGATGAAATAATGTGACTAATAATCCCTCACGGCTCAGCTGACTCCTTATTTAGGACTCAGGGGCATTTAACCAGCTGTCACATTGCTGTCCTCCACAATTAGTCTCAGGCTACAAATAACAATTTTTTTTACTAATTAATTAATCCTACAATTTATTTTTCCTTAATAAATTTATAATTTAAGAGCAAAATAATTATATATACAGAATATATATACAGAATCTAAACCAAGTGAAGCTAAAACTTTGCAACTAAAGGTGTTATAATTTATCCACAGACAAAAAAAGATTGAAGATGATAAATGTAACTGGAAACATGAAAGCTGGTGTTTGGTACTCACGCCACACTCTCCCACCACCGTGTCGTTCACCATGATCCGACCGCAGTACAGACCAGGACATGTTGAGCTCATAGCTACACCTGGAATTGAAAAAAGAATGCTTAAATGTTGTTTTCTCTAAATGATGCTGGTTGGACCCTGTAAACATTTTCAGATTTAACTCATTAGCTAATGAGTTATTTGTGTCGCCCAGGAAATATCTTCATAGTTCATATATATATATATATATATAGACAGATAAAGTATATATCATGCTTAATTATAATCACAGTATTATAACAGTTTCAACACAAATTACAATAATGAAGAAACAAATATAAAAGAGGAAGTAAACAACAATCAATAATACCACCCCTACTACCACCTTTATCCATAATCACAAGCTGTATCCCAGTACATCATAATCTGATGGTCTGTCTGGGTATAAACCAACATCCATCTCTTGGATTTGCAAAGAATACACAGGTGTAACTTTCTGAGGGACTGGTGCGGACATATCCCCACCAACTTTGGCATGGAGGGGACAGTCCCCACCAATAATCTTTGCTTTTTTTCCCCCCTTTCAGAGAATTATGAGAATTATGTGTTTTTATTTTCCCCTCTCTTGCTGCTCCTGTCTCCTGCCTCTCGGTGTAACATCATTTGATATGTCGCTTTGAGACATCTGATTTGCTGTCGCATTTCACTTTGTAAAGAGTAGCTACGTGGAGGAGGAGAGACACACAGCAGCATGTTGTGTTCTTCTTTACTAGTTAAAAAAGCTTGGCTTCTCAGAGGACCATGACTTCCAGTTACAGGTTAAAATGAACCTGTTTTCTTATTTTACAGATTAAATCAGACTGCAGCGCTTCAACATATCTTGTAATTTTGTTTCAGGCATCACAACAGAGCACAAAGAGAAGTAGGGAGAGCTGCAGATTTAAAGGTGATCAGATTTACTGGGATATGCAACATGCAATAAAATATATCTCCAAGTTTACCAGAAAGTTTACAAGAAAAAAAACATATGATATGCTGTATTTAAAATTCAGCATATCCATATTTTTCTGGAAGGATGGATGGAATTGAAATTGTACTTCTAGGGATGTATGATATATCAATTTTGGCGTCAGAATCGGGTGTTATTCATAATTTTTTTTATACATTAATGTTTTTGGGCCCTATATAAGCACTAAAAGATCTCTCTAACTATCTATAAATATAAATATCAGTGTATTATTGTCATCTTGTGTTCTCAACAATAGGAAAGCATTCAATAAATAAATGTTTGAGCTCATTTTTGGAAAATACAAAAACCTAATGAAAGCATTCGTGTGGAGTAACTGTAGGTCCATCAGCCTCTACCCTTAGACTTTCCCCACCAACTTTCATTACAAAGTTACACCCTTGAAAGAAAAATAGCAAAAGAGAAGATATTCCCACAGCTTTGTGTGAATAGAAAGGTCTTTTTACTGGTTTCTTAAAGATAGCGTTCAGTCACCAGAACTGAATCCAATAGAAATACTTTTGGATCTGGTGGAGCAGGAGATCCTCATTATGGAGGTTCCAGTCTGTATGAAAAAGGGCTGCTGTGATGTCAACGTGGTAGAGAAACTACGGGCGATATTTAGACCCTACTAGATCTGTTGTAAAGTACACGGCCTATGCTGACAGAAACGCCTCTCGATGTTTCTAAACCGGGCATATAAATATGAATATTAAATACGACAGGCCAAATTAATCAGACACAACAAGATAAGAAGCAGATTTCGGAGCTAAGGTAGCAGTTAACAGCTAACAGCGATGTTTGTTCATGGATTCTAATGATATACGCTGAATTACGGCCCTGAAATCAATCAAAAACTAGAACTATAACCTCCGGTTGAGTCATTACTGAACAGAAAAGACATTAAAAGCAACCCAACCTCACCTGAACTCATTGTGTGAACGAAAATCCAATGGGAACAACAATAACAGGAATAAATATGCCAATTCGGTGGTTTTGTTGATGGGTTTCGACCTGCTTCCGCCTGCTAACGTTTAACACTAACGAAAAGGGGCGCTTGCGCCCCCAACTGGCCTGGAGGAAAAGCTTCTTCTTTCTATTCTTCTTCTTGTTAGGTTTTATGGCGGTTGGGATACTAGTTAAAAGCGCTTTACCGCCACCAACTGATAAGGAGTTTAGCTAGGAAACAGGAAACGACACCCTCCCAGAAATAAAATAATAAATAAAAGCAGAAATAAAAAAATAATAATAACATTTTTCCAAACTGTTTAACTGAACCCAACATAATAAATACTTAATCACATTTGCCCTCATAATTTGTAATTTATCTTTAAGTTATTGTCACTGCCTGTTTCTGATGGTCCTACTGGTTTTCCCATAATGCTTTTAACCATTTCCCAGTTTAAATCTCTAACTTCAAGATACTTTTCTGCAGCTTTCACTATTATTTAAATTTTTTGGGGTTTTCTCGTTGTCTGTGCACTGCTATTGATCACTTCAACTATGAAAAGAACAAAATCTTTCTTCTTTTCTTCTTTTTTTTTATTTTATATTTTTTTTTTTACAATCAATGATTCTTTAATTTTGGGACATTTCTCCAGAGGTTTTGAATTTGTGCTGTGAGCAGTTGATTTGGGTCTTTCTGACTGGGATGGGATCCTTTTTTCAGCTTCAGCATATGTTATTCCAAGCTAAAATGTCACTTTTCTAATTTCCTCAGACCTTTTACTCACTTCACACCCACGATATGCAACAGTATGTTCTCCACCACAGTTACAGCATTTAATTTTAACTTGTTTCCCCCATTTTCCATATTCATGCTCTCCTGCACACCTTCCACATCGCGGTTTTCCTTTGCATACTGCTGCTATATGTCCAGATTTTTGGCATTTGAAGCATCTCAAAGGTGGAGGATTGCACATTTTGACATTGTAGCTCATGTAGCCAATGAAAACTTTGCTTGGTAATTGCTCTTCTTCAAATTTAATTAACACAGATAAGCTATCACACCTTTCTCCTTTTCTTGTTGTTTTTAACTGTTTCATTTCTTTTACTTTTGCACCACTTATGTTTTCTAGAATCTCTTTTTCAGATACTTTTAGAGGAATTCCTTCAATGACTCCCCTGCTAATCTTTTTGTTCTCCAACAAGCTGCACTGAACTCTTTTCCCCTCAATCTTGTTGATCTGGATGGCTTTGCCTTTTTGAGGCTGTCAGTTGATTTATAGGTCTCCACTATACAGTATTCTTGCACTTCGGACTTCTTCTACAAGTTTATTTATCGATTTTGCTAAATGAACCGGATTCCAATCTGAAAAAGAGTCTGACTGATTTACTAGTTTGAATATAACTTTGTAATCATTTTGTTTTCCTGTGAAATGTATAGACGGTTCATCACTTGACTGTTCTGAACTAGACTCCCCTTCAATTGATCTCTGCCTTTTCCGCTTTTTCTCAACTTTTGATGCTACTCTCTTCCAATCTTTCACTATTTCCTTCTTCCATCCCACAAGAATCGCTTCATGTTTCCTACCTACTCACAGCCCAGGACATTTCTCCACAAGCAACTTAGAAACACGCGGCATGCACCAACTCGCTTCTTGCCGTCGATGCTCCAAACCCAACTGGACTGGAGTAAAAACTTCTTCTGTCTATTGGCAATGGAAATCACATCTCAATTGCTGCAGGTCTGTGATGGTTATTCTCATATAAGCTTTTGGAGTCTTATATTATTTTAAAGCTTGTATCTTTATTCATTTGTGCCTAAAATCTATTCTTTTTTACTGTATTTGCTCCTATGTTTGACAGGTCTGACTTAATTTCTTTATGAAGTTAAAATGTTTTGGGATGCTTCTGTAATTTGCCATATCTTTGTTTTATACATTGTGATTTTTTGCATTAAAAAATGAAAATTTGGGCATATCTTTGAACCCTGAAACCAAAATTAGAATATTAAAACAGTCCTTTCAATCTATTCTCTTCATCATGAACTGTTTATTTCATATACATATATAAGATAGTTGCACATTATTCTACTGTAGGTTTAGGTAAATCTCACACTTTCTTATCTTCAAAAGATTACAGAATGTTAATAAACAACAACTAACCCCTTAAAAAAAAACCCACAGTGATTAGACACTTTTCTCTCCTTATTCTGTCATTAACTCTACTATTTATGTTGAGTTTATTACTTATACAAGTTTTTTACAATAATTACTTATGTGTGGAAAAATCAACAAAGAATTTTGCCCCTTTACATGTTTATATAGAAAAAATAAGCTATACCAAATATTTCTTATTTATTAATATCTGACTAAGATAGAGCTGGAACAAAACTGCTGCAGCAACATGCCATGCCCCCTGCATTAAAAAGATCCTCAGCAGATAGAGTTTGCTCGGATCCTTCCAGTAAGATTAGACAA